CTTGTTTACAACACCTGAAATCTTTACAGCTTTTGTAAGTTTACCTTGACCTTATTTTAATTATACCTTGTTTGACATTTCCTGGTGCTGATTTCATGGTAGGTAGATCAGATTTCAAATGGGAGAAAGCAAGTTTATGCAGAAAGAAAATGCTATTATTCAAATGTTGATATCCCATGCTATGTCATGGTGTTCAAAGTTGATATTTTTGTTGTCTTTTATAAATAGTTGTTTTTTATAAATAGTTTGTCTTTTAAAAATTCATAATGTCAGGATGTTTTGAAATTTGAGATTTGGACCATCTGATCCACATATTGGTCAACTAGCTATGACAAGCCTGAAGACTTGGACCATCTGATCCACATATTGGTCAACTAGCTATGACAAGCCCGGAGATGTGGACCATCCGATCCACATATTGGTCAACTAACTATGACAAGCCTGGAGACGTGGACCATCTGATCCACATATTCATCAACTAGCTATGACAAGCCTGGAGACTTGGACCATCTGATCCACATATTGGTCAACTAGCTATGACAAGCCTGGAGACTTGGACCATCTGATGAACATATTGGTCAACTAGCTATGACAAGCCTGGAGACTTGGACCATCTGACTTAACATATTGGTCAACTAGCTATGACAAGCCTGGAGACTTGGACCATCTGATCCACATATTGGTCAACTAGCTATGACAAGCCTGGAGACTTGGACCATCTGATCCACATATTGGTCAACTAGCTATATGACAAGCCTGGAGACTTGGACCATCTGATCCACATATTGGTCAACTAGCTATGACAAGCCTGGAGACTTGGATCATCTGATCCACATATTGGTCAACTAGCTATGACAATCCTGGAGACTTGGATCATCTGATCCACATATGGTTAAACTAACTATGACAATCCTGGAGACTTGGACCATCTGATCCACATATTGGTCAACTAGCTATGACAAGCCTGGAGACTTGGACCATCTGATCCACATATTGGTCAACTAGCTATGACAAGCCTGGAGACTTGGATCATCTGATCCACATATTGGTCAACTAGCTATGACAATCCTGGAGACTTGGATCATCTGATCCACATATGGTTAAACTAACTATGACACGCCTGGAGACTTGGACCATCTGATCCACATATTGGTCAACTAGCTATGACAAGCCTGGAGACTTGGATCATCTGATCCACATATTGGTCAACTAACTATGACAATCCTGGAGACTTGGACCATCTGATCCACATATTGGTCAACTAGCTATGACAAGCCTGGAGACTTGGACCATCTGATTAACATATTGGTCAACTAGCTATGACAATCCTGGAGACTTGGACCATCTGATCCACATATTGGTCAACTAACTATGACAATCTAGACTTGGATCATCTGATTAACATATTGGTCAAGCCTGGAGACTTGGATCATCTGATTAACATATTGGTCAACTAACTATGACAAGCCTGGAGACTTGGACCATCTGATTAACATATTGGTCAACTAGCTATGACAAGCCTGGAGACTTGGACCATCTGATCCACATATTGGTCAACTAACTATGACAAGCCTGGAGACTTGGACCATCTGATCCACATATTGGTCAACTAGCTATGACAAGCCTGGAGACTTGGACCATCTGATTAACATATTGGTCAACTAGCTATGACAAGCCTGGAGACTTGGACCATCTGATTAACATATTGGTCAACTAGCTATGACAAGCCTGGAGACTTGGACCATCTGATTAACATATTGGTCAACTAGCTATGACAAGCCTGGAGACTTGGACCATCTGATCCACATATTGGTCAACTAGCTATGACAAGCCTGGAGACTTGGATCATCTGATCCACATATTGGTCAACTAGCTATGACAAGCCTGGAGACTTGGACCATCTGATCCACATATTGGTCAACTAGCTATGACAATCCTGGAGACTTGGATCATCTGATCCACATATTGGTCAACTAGCTATGACAATCCTGGAGACTTGGATCATCTGATCCACATATGGTCAACTAGCTATGACAAGCCTGGAGACTTGGACCATCTGATCCACATATTGGTCAACTAGCTATGACAAGCCTGGAGACTTGGACCATCTGATTAACATATTGGTCAACTAGCTATGACAAGCCTGGAGACTTGTACCATCTGATCCACATATTGGTCAACTAACTATGACAAGCCTGGAGACTTGGACCATCTGATCCACATATTGGTCAACTAGCTATGACAAGCCTGGAGACTTGCATGGATATGACATTGACAAGTCCAGACACATAATTGAGTGTGTGCACAAGGACACGACTATGTGCAACAAATTGTGGTGTCTTCAACAACAGGGCCACCTGTGTCCCCTATGAATACTGACACCACCTGATATCTTGAACGGAGAATATATTCTATACCTGAATCCCCACCTGGGTCTGAGATACAATGCAAAGTCAAATATGCTAAATAAGTTTACTTTCAAAAACTTTGAGTAAATGTTACCCAACTTTGGGGTCATTTTTAATCTCAGCATCCTTTACGTGGACATGGACATATACATCACCATGTGACATGTTGACTCCATGAACTATTTTGTTTCAATATTGTAACATTCAGTATGGAGAAAACTGCAGGGTGCATACGTCATGTTCCTCATGTTACAGAAATTGATGCCCACAAATGTCCCTTATTATGGGTAGGAGCTCATAGACCCGTGAAGATCCAGGTTAGAATTGATCTTCAGTAGCCCATGCTTGTCGTAAGAGGCAACTAACGGGATCGGGTGGTCAGGTTCGCTGATTTGGTTGACACATGTCATCGGTTCCCAATTGCGTAGATTGATGCTCATGATGTTGATCACTGGGTTGTCTAGTCCAGATTTGATTATTTACAGACTGTCGCCCTATGGCGAGAATATTTCTGAGTGCAGCATTAAACAAGAAACAAACTTGTAAAACTCATACTTCATTGATTCATATATATACTGTCACAGTCAGAAAACATTCAGTCTCAGTTAGCTGCTCAAACTGATACCATTGTGTGTATAGGTCAAATTAGTGATGACATTTATTTGAAATGATCACCGGAAATCAGTGATGACACAAAGTGTTAACCAAAAGTTGAAGTTTGTCCTGCTGTACTGTTAGGTTTTGTTTTGTTCGTTGTTTAACGCTGGACTCAGCAATATTCCAGCTATATGGTGGCGGTCTGTAAATAATCGAGTCTGGACCAGACAATCCAGTGATCAACAGCAGTCTTGTCATTTTGGATACAATGACATGTGTCAACCAAGTCAGCGAGCCTGACCACCCGATCCCGTTAGTTGCCTCTAACGACAAGCATGGGTTACTGAAGATCAATTCTAACCTGGATCTTCACAGATCTACTGTTAGGTAACACACTGTCATAATGATAACCCCATACATCTTTCAACAAGCCTCTTGTCTGAGAAGGTTCATGAATATTTTTAAAAATCATTGCTGAATTGTTACACTCTTGTGTGGGGTAGTCTGGTATGCTATTGTCAGGGGAGGTGATATGTTTTTTCAAGTAAATTGCTTAATTAGAATAACTGTATGACTTATTACATACCCTCATTCCCAGGTGGGTCATTCTTTATTTATTACCCTCTGATTCCTGATAACACAAATCCTGTAGCAGAATTTCCAGACAGAAAACTTCATTTTGTGTGTCCTCTAGTGATTTGGCATGAAGGCTTGAGCTTTGTGTCTCCAGGTGATGACCTTATCGACACATACAGCATCACGACTTCGCTGACAGTGGCTCCTTGCTACTGTATAAGTCCCTGTTCATCGATGAATAATTTGTCTCGCTCCCTTGAACTGTGATTTATGAGAGTCATTTGTATTGTTTTTGGACTGTTATGGCGCCACCATCACTCTATTAACCGTTATTGCCTCCAACGTCCAAGTCCACTGGACATAATTGTCTCTTGGCATCATTTTGTACCTTTTAGTGCAAGTACATGTTTACTGAATGAAAAGAGTTAGAAAAGTGGTGATGATTTGGGGATTTAAGCTGCGTTTTCTGACATAATGCGTATTTCGCACACGGTGGGGAAACAGGCCTATTTTTTCAGATATATATGTGAAACCATTCTCTTCCCACAGAGGTTACTTGTCATATCTTCCTACGAACCTCTGTTCTTATACGTCCCTTTCATGGTGCGAGTGTTCAGGATTTGTGATTAGTTACAATCAGATTTAATTGTGCAATCAGCAACGTTGTTTTAAAAGTGATCATTCGCAAGGCCTCGGTAATTTCCGTATGCTTCGGGAGAACTAGAACCTCTTCCCCTGCACATTCTGCAAACATTTCTTCTAGACAGAACTCAGTCATGTAATGGCTGATCAATGGAGTCTCCATCGCCCTCGTTGACAACTGACAAGCTAGCCATTAAATGTCTTGTGTGTCACATCAACACAAATACCCGGCAGAGGAGTGATATTTGTGGCCCCACATTTGCTTGTATTAGTCAAGTCGATGATTGGATAGAAAGAAGGGAGATAATTTGTGTTGCGATTTTTTGCCCGATAGGGGATTTTATGAGAACCGGGAAATATGGCCATATTAGAAGAGATGTTTGTAGGAAGATATGACAAGCAGCCTCTGTGGGAAGAGAATTATGTGCAACTTGATCAGTGGTGAGACTTCACTATGAAAATCTCGTCACGATATGGCTGAAATATTGCCGATGTGACGTTAAATAATAGCTCACTCACTCACTATGAAAAATATCCCCATACAATTCCTGATCCTTACTTGTTTTCTTCAGAATATTAAATTTTCTTAGTTGTGTGCAGTGGAATAATATAATCCTACAATGAATTTTAAAATCACTCAATTCTGATTGGTTAATCAGAGGTTTTAAATCAGAGTACAGAGATAGTTGAGTTTCATTTGAATTGATCATCAAAGTTTTACACTTACGATCAAACTTGTCCTCCAAATTGGTGAAAAATAAGTGATATCTTTTGCAGGAGTCCATGCTTCCCAGCCCCAGGTGTCAGAAGGGCAGTTGATGTTGGAAACACTGCAAGGCTTTGTCATGTTTGTCAAGAAGAATGGTATAATCCTGTATGTGTCTGACACTGTAGAGCAACACCTGGGTCTAAAACAGGTGAGTGTGTATAAGACACTGTAGAGCAACACCTGGGTCTCAAACAGGTGAGTGTGTATAAGACACTGTAGAGCAACACCTGGGTCTCAAACAGGTGAGTGTGTATAAGACACTGTAGAGCAACACCTGGGTCTCAAACAGGTGAGTGTGTATAAGACACTGTAGAGCAACACCTGGGTCTCAAACAGGTGAGTGTTAAATCAAATTAATATTTCAAGATTCAGTGTTTGTTTAGCAGCTTAACGTAAAGTTTAACATATGTTAGGAATAAGAAGATTGATTCATTGTCAAATTCCATTTACCAGTGACTGCTAATGGTACTGTGGTGTTATTACCCGAGTTGTTGGATGACTGTGAACTGACATTTACTGCTGCCTGGGGAGCACACAAACCAAGCCTCAGTCCCCTCACATTCCCATCCTACCAGGTACCCATTCACTGCTTAGTAAACAGAGTCCCCTCACATTCCCATCCTACCAGGTACCCATTCACTGCTTAGTAAACAGAGGCAAAGCCCCTTGCAACCAGCATTGCTCAACTTTACCTGATTTGTGATTTGTATGCAGTACACAGGGCCTCATTCCTTGCATTTTGTACTGCCATAGTAGCGATGATGATGATAATTATTACTATAATGAGTGAGTGAGTGAATTTGGCTTTACTCTGCTTTTAGCAATATTCCAACAGTATCACAGCAGGGGACACCAGAAATTGGCTTCACACATTGTATACATGTGGGGAATCGAACCTGGGTCTTTGGCGAGACAAACATGAACACTTTAACGAGTGGGCTACCCCACCACCCATTTTTTTGTATATACAGGATGATGATGATGATGATGTATGGATGGCTTTAGTCTAGAGTGAATTCTTTTGCAACAGTAAACATACTATTCTTAAGATACGTTTGTATTCTTCAGGAAAACCTCTTGGGAACATCTGTGATCCATATCATCCACCCTGAGGATATGACAGAGCTGTCGAAGCAGTTTAAGGTCTCTGTATCCAACAAAACAGCTGATGGTAAGAAAGACATACATTTTGATATGTAGTATATATTTCACCTTCTAGACATTCGTATTAAAAACTGAGAATTCAAAATCTGTTTCGGACACAAACTATGCTTTGAATTTTGAAGTAGTGTACCTGTAGATGCACAAGCATGTGTAGTACTGATTATCCAGTGAGAAGTCTTAAAATATATTGTATGTAAAGAATCATGTTAACTTTTTCTTTTTCCTGACAATTCAGCCTCTGCAAACGTCCAGAACATTCTCCAATCAGAACAGAAATGCTCTTTCCTTTTACGGATGAAGTTTCAATTCTCTAGGAATGATGAGAGGAGTCGTCAGACAGGCTACATGGTATGTTTCTTTTTGTGTGTTTGCATGAAGGTTTTGTGACATATAGCAATAATCACACACATCTCCCTGACATCCAATACACATTAACACAAGACACACTGTCACACAAATCTGCCTGACATTTGATAAGTGTTTACACCCAAGATACACAGTCACACACATCTCCCTGACATCTAATACACATTAACACAAGAAGCACACATCTCCCTGACATCCAATACACATTAACACAAGACACACTGTCACACAAATCTCCCTGACATTTGATACGTGTTTACACCCAAGATACACAGTCACACACATCTCCCTGACATCTAATACACATTAACACAAGAAGCACACATCTCCCTGACATCCAATACACATTAACACAAGACACACTGTCACACAAATCTCCTGACATTTGATCGTGTTTACACCCAAGATATACAGTCCACACATCTCCCTGACATCTAATACACATTAACACAAGAAGCACACATCTCCCTGACATCCAATACACATTAACACACAATATACACACAGATCACCTTGACATCCAATACACATAAACACACACAAGACACACACATTTCTTTGACATCCACTACTCATTAACACACAAGACACACATCTCATTGACATCCAATACACATTAACACACAAGACACACACATCTCCCTTTCATCCAATACACATTAACACAAGACATACACATCTCCCTGACATCCAATACACATTAACACACAAGACACACACATCTCCCTTACATCCAATACACATTAACACACAAGACATACACATCTCCCTGACATCCAATACACATTAACACACAAGACATACACATCTCCCTGACATCCAATACACATTAACACACAACACACACACACATATCCCTGACATCCAATACACATTAACACAAGACACACACATCACCCTGACATCCAATACACATTAACATAAGACACACATCTCCTGACATCCAATACACATTAACACACAAGATACTGTCAGACACATCTCCCTGACATCCAATACACATTAACACACAAGACACCCACATTAACAAGACACACTTAACACATCTCCCCTGACATCCAATACACACAAAACACACACTGTCAGACACATCTCCCTTAAGACATTAACACAAGACACACTGCCATACACATCTCCCTGACATCCAATACACATTAACACACACGACACACTGTCAGACACATCTCCCTGACATCCAGTGCACATTAACACAAAACACACACTGTCAGACACATCTCCCTGACTTTCAATACACATTAACACAAAACACTAGAGCTGTGTATCATGGCCTAACTGGCGAGACGATATATCCCGATACCAGTTTAATGAGGCGAGACGATATATCATGAAAGTATTGGCAAGGACCATGCGAGATGGTGGCGATATGATACATATCGCGATACTTTACAATTTCTGAAAACAGAACAGATATGATAGACAAAATGACGTTAACTTGTTAATTTGTTATTCAGCAGAATGTGTTACATTCACACACACTTAAAAAGCTGTTCATCTAATAAAGTTTCAGCTTTTAATGCTTAAGAAAGTACAGTCAAACATATTCAGTATACTAGGATCTAATAAAAATAAATTTGAAACTGAAGTTTCCCTTGGGAAGTTGTGTTTCTACACCAGTGCTTTCACAAACAATTCAATGTAATTAATATCAGAATTCAGAATCACTGAAAAAAACAACTTTAGTCTGCTTTCTAAACTTTATCTTACCCTTGTTCTCCCTCTTAACAAAGCTTAGACATCGTTCATAGTTGTTAAACAACTAAAACATATTTCAAATACTTGAAGACAAGTATTCTACAGTTCACAGAGTTTGAAAAATGTTTACACTCTTTCACGTATACACCAACTCCTTTGTCCATGTAACAAAGATAGCAGATACAAACAAATTCCTATAAGGTTCAATTTCTTTTTAAAATTCAGAAGAATTTCAAACGGACTCCCTTCCTATTCCTAATGCAATAGGCCTACTCCTTACAAATTTCAGCTGAGCACAATTTGAAAGAATAAAGCCTTAAACAATACAAACCTACAAATACTGGATACAGAATAAAACCCTTTCTTCAAAGATATCAGATTACTTGTCATAAAAATTACAGTTGATTGGATATCACAAAATCAGAATGAGGTAAAAACAAAATCAAATTTTCTTTGGGTATAGAATGTGAATGAATATATCTTTGGTCAAATTAAATAATCAATGGGATTTAGATGAAAAGTTAGTAAATTAAGTACATAAACCGAAATTTGAGGAACAAACAAAAAGCAGTCTGTAGAAAGGGTGGTTGGCTTATCTTCGGGTTACGTTTTCGTCCAAAAAATGTTCAGGGGGAAAGAAAACGACATTGTATCACTTCGCGTGAACGAACAAGAGAAGATTTTTTCAGTAAAGACGTCAAATTTGCCATTAAACATCACCAGACATAATGTACAAAACATACCATTTTGAAACTGATTTTAAGGGTCAAGTTAGGGGGGTCAGGTTACCTATGAGATCGGCTTATGTACGGTAATATGCTACTTAAGCAGTATCTCTTGTGGCGATACATCAATGTATCATGGACCCTTGTGATATAAATATCCTGATATTATGCCTAAAAGTGTTTTGTATCAATGCACCCGTATCTCGTAATTAACGATGCAAACATCGATACTATCAATAAGTCGTTACACCACTAATTAGCACACAAGACACACACATCTTGACATCCAATACGCATTACCGCAAGACACACACACATCTCCCTGACATCCAATACACATTAACACAGAAGACACACACATCTCCTTGGCACCCAATACACATTAACACAAGACACACTGTCACACACATCTCCCTGACATCCAAAACACATTAACACACAAGACACACACACACATCTTGCCACACTATCAAACTGACAACACACACAAGACATACAAGACATGTTGCTACCCCTGGCCTTTTCCCAATATGGCTTCAAGTTACTCGTTTATACATAGAAGAATCACAAGTAAGATGTATTTGTTTATGTCCAAGGAACCTGAGAGGGTTTGTTTGGTAATTAAGCTTGCATGCACACACAACCACAACCACACTCCAAGTTGCGTAACTTGCTTGATTGAGTGTGTGCCTTAGCAAATGCCCTCTTCTATATGTAATTAACCTCTGCCCCACCAGGGGGTGCTCAGTGTTATCTGATCGGTATTGTCCCCAGCTGATACCGCAGTCACTTGCATCCAGTTGTGTTACATGTGTTACACACCCATTACCATCACCGCTCACTCTCTCTTCATCATTTCAAAGATACAGAGACGGAAATAAAAGCTAAATGTATTTAAACAGAAACATATCAAATGGGACTTTCTTTAAGATGAAGTGTGAGAATGTTAAACATGGTTCTGTAAGAAGGTTCTCCAGTAAATGGATTTATTGACTTGCTGCTGTTGAAATGTTTGCAGGTGGGTTCGCTGAGTAGCCATTTTGTTGATAGTTATGAAACTTGTAATATAAAGCTTTTCTTGAAGGTTCTCCAGAAGAACTATTGATTTCTTTTTTATTTGTTCTTTGTACATTATCTGTGGCAGGCAGGAGACCTTTTGATATATCTGTAAACTGTATGTTCATTTCTGTTTGTTCTTTATTTATTGTCTGTAATGTATGGGGCAAAATTTCAATATCTATGAAATGTCTATTTCTTTTCTTTTTCTTTGTTATTAATCATCTTTGATGGACAGGTAGTCTGTGATACAGACCCTGAAACGAACATATCCAAGAAAGCCCATGCAAGTCTAGATTATGTGGCAAGTCTAGATTTCCACAGTTTGTGAAAATGAAGAAAGTCTCTGGGCTCCTTTTCATTATATTTTGTGATTATAGTTTATACTGTTTTTTTTCTGTAAAATATGTTGATTTCAGAGACTAGATGTTAGTCTAATGGACAGAGTTTAATTTCAAATGTCTATCAACAAATTCTTTTCCATCTGTTTTTGACTAGTTATATTTGACTTCAGTGAATCGTATGAAATATTTACAAACTGTGTATTCGTATTTGTTGTGTAGCTAGTACAGTGGACGGGCCGGCTGAGGTTGCGGCCCTCCAGGAAGGCGTGTGGCTATGCCATCGAAGGCCTGGTGTGCATGTGTCAGCCCCTACAGACCAACTCCATCCTGGAGATCAGGATGGGAGGAAGCATGTTCATCAGTAGACATGACCTTGGAATGAGGTTTACGTACTGTGATCCCAGGTACGTCAGCACTTACTTCTCACGTCATGCATGGTGTTCATATAATGTAGCTCTCGCTCGCTTGCTCACTCACCCACCGACCCAACCACCCACCCACTCACTCACTCACTCACTCACTCACTCACTCACTCACTCACTCACTCACTCACTCACTCACTCACTCACTCACTCACTCACTCACTCACTCACTCACTCACTCACTCACTCACTCAGATATTACAGCCTGTAATAACCTGTATGTGTAGGATAAAGCACTCCTCTTCGGTTATGGTTGGAAAAGTAAGACCCGAGACCGGAGGGCGGGGAGAAGTAAGACCGAGAGCGCGAAGCGCTGAAGGTCTTACTTCTCTCCACCCTATGGTCGAGGGCTTACTTTCCCAACCATAACCGAGGAGGAGTGCTTTATTATACATATAAACCGTCAATGATGGATAATTAGATGATCATGTAATGAAGCTACATAACAGTAACTGAAGCGCTAGTAAAATCAATTGAATGACAGTAGGCCTAACTATAAATAGATAATTCAACCCTTGTTCTTTGTCGGCCCGGTGGCTGTGAGGTAGAGCGTCCGCTTATGAATCTGAAATATATGGTTCCAATCCTGCTAGGGAAAACATTTGCACATTTAAGTTGATCTTTGACTATATTTTTCAATTGATTTCAAACACTAACATATCATCTGAATTTGAATGTTGATGTTAATATAGAGTTAGGAAAAAGTAAAACCTGGGAAGATGTCTTACTTACAAAAAGTAAAACCGGGAAATAGGTCTTACTTACGAAAAGTAAAACCTGGGAGCAAACAAAAACCTCAAATGCGGTAATTCCGGGAAAAGAAGCCATGTCTAATATATAGTGAGAAGCAGCCTTCAGGTTTATATGATTGAGATATTACATCCTGGCCAACTGAGACATAATAACCTGTATGATTGAGATATTACATCCTGGCCAACTGAGACATAATAACCTGTATGATTGAGATATTACATCCTGGCCAACTGAGACATAATAACCTGTATGATTGAGATATTACATCCTGGCCAACTGAGACGTAATAACCTGTATGATTGATCTGTACGATTGAGATATTACATCCTGACCAACGGAGACATTGAGATATTACATCCTGACCAACTGAGACATAATAACCTGTATGATTGAGAAATGTTATCCTGGCCAACTGAGAGATATTACATAATAACCTGATGAGAAATATGATTGGACAACTGAGACATAATAACCTGTATGATTGCGATATTATATCCTGGCCACATCCAGGACAACTGAGATGTAATAACCTGTAATGATTGAGATATTACATCCAGGACAACTGAGACGTAATAATCTGTATGATTGAGATATTACATCCAGGACAACTGAGATGTAATAACCTGTACGATTGAGATATTACATCCAGGACAAAGGGGACTAACACTAAACATCACCCATATTAATAATACAGAAGTTGTATGTCCATAGAACCCTCCCTATTGTTCATCACTCCAACTTCTAAATGCCACTCAAAGAGGTACATCCTGAACAATTGAGATGTAATAGCCTTTGAAAATGTGATATTACAGCCTCGACAATTAAGATATAAGAGTTGTTTTACACTGCAGTCTGCATCAGTTATATCGGAGAGGCCTGGAAATATTCCAGTAGGGGTCTGTCAAACTAGTGGTTGATAGCACGAACACTAGGAAATGTAATTGATTTTTTAATACTTGTAGGCAAGGGTTGTTGTTTTAGATATTTTCTTGACAGGGATTAACCACAGATCAGATATTTAACTACCTTATTCCAGGTCGGTTGTCATGTCAGGCATGCATCATGTATTTTATACCCAGATGAACCCTGCTGTCCCGAACTCAGATGTGTTGAATCCCTGGTTGCATCACGCTTAAAACCAACCCCAGCAAAACCTTACTAAACTTGTCAAACTGGATGTGTCAAGATCCTGGTCATCTTCAACTCAATCTATGGTCCCAGCGTCAAAAATAAGTTTTCATTTTCCCTGATAAGTTAAATTTAATTTTGTTGTTAAAGCCCAAGTAGATATCTAATGTATGTCATAAAGAATCAGAGAGCCTATTTTATCCCACATGTTGATTAAAATGGATTGGTTATTAAAGATTATAAATAGTTAGTGTATGATACAACAGATGGTGTTCACACTATCATCCATCTGCTCTGAGTACACCATAGAAATAGCATATTGAGACTGGGTACCAAATGGTCAGCTGAAGTTTCTGTATCTCTCTGTAGCATCCTTTATGTAATCTCTTATCTAAACTAATAACACTTCCAAGACACACACTAGCAGTAGTCTATCTCACAATCCCTAATCATATTATTTTCCCTTTTGCCTAGCTTTATCTTTAATGCAAAAGCCTGTGTGATTTCCTTAGCTTTAGTCTTCACCTCACTGGGGATCCTTTTCAAATTTAAATTCATTTTTCTCTCGGACTGAGCATGAGTCTAACACAGCAGGTATACACCCGTGTGAGCTGCATCTATGTTAGAGCACCTGTCTACAACAGGTGAGCCAGACGATGATGGACGGTATAATGGAGGGCGTAAAGCAGATTTCTGTCATTGTGTTTTCAGAGATAAATCAGTGTAGGGACATATTCTTGTCAGTTTTGCTTGCTGTTTACTCACCAACAAGCATCCAGATAGTGAGTGTTTATGTGAGAAATGCTCCTATGTGTCTGTGTGTTCCTTTATTTTTCTGTCAATGAGTTTTGTGTTTCTGTACAAGCAGCATCCTTGTTGTCTTGATGTTTGGATATGTGTGTGTGTGTGTGTGTGTGTGTGTGTGTGTGTGTGTGTGTGTGTGTGTGTGTGTGTGTGTGTGTGTGTGTGTGTGTGTTTATGTGTGATTAGATCTTGAATGTGTGAATATTTATTAAAAGTGAGTATATATTATATGTGAGTAAATGTGAGTGAATGTGTGTAAGATGAGTACATCTTGAGTGTCAAGATGGGTACATTTCCTGTGTGTAAGATGGGTACATTTCCTGTGTGTAAGATGGGTACATCTTGAGTGTAAGATGGGTACATTTCCTGTGTGTAAGATGGGTACATTTCCTGTGTGTAAGATGGGTACATTTCCTGTGTGTAAGATGGGTACATTTCCTGTGTGTAAGATGGGTACATCTTGAGTGTAAGATGTGTAGATTTCCTGTGTGTAAGATAAGTACATTTGCTGTTTGTAAGATGGGTACATTTCCTGTGTGTAAGATGAGCACATCTTGAGTGTAAGATGGGTACATTTCCTGTGTGTAAGATGAGTACATTTCCTGTCTGTAAGATGAGTACATCTTGAGTGTAAGATGAGTACATTTCCTGTGTGTAAGATGAGCACATCTTGAGTGTAAGATGGGTACATTTCCTGTGTGTAAGATGAGTACATTTCCTGTGTGTAACATGGGTACATTTCCTGTGTGTAAGATGGGTACATTTCCTGTGTGTAAGATGGGTACATCTTGAGTGTAAGATGTGTAGATTTCCTGTGTGTAAGATAAGTACATTTGCTGTTTGTAAGATGGGTACATTTCCTGTGTGTAAGATGAGCACATCTTGAGTGTAAGATGGGTACATTTCCTGTGTGTAAGATGGGTACATTTCCTGTGTGTAAGATGAGTACATTTCCTGTCTGTAAGATGAGTACATCTTGAGTGTAAGATAAGTACATTTCCTGTGTGTAAAATGAGCACATCTTGAGTGTAAGATGGGTACTTTTCCTGTGTGTAAGATGAGTACATTTCCTGTGTGTAAGATGGGTACATTTCCTTTGTGTAAGATGGGTACATTTCCTGTGTGTAAGATGAGTACATTTCCTGTGTGTAAGATGAGTACATCTTGAGTGTAAGATTGGTACATTTGCTGTTTGTAAGATGGGTACATTTCCAGTCTGTAAGATGGGTACATTTCCTGAGTGTAAGATGGGTACATTTCCTGTCTGTAAGATGGGTACATTTCCTGTGTGTAAGATGGGTACATTTCCTGTGTGTAAGATGAGTACATTTCCTGTGTGTAAGATGAGTACATCTTAAGTGTAAGATGGGTACATTTCCTGTGTGTAAGATGAGTACATTTCCTGAGTGTAAGATGGGTACATTTCCTGTGTTTAAGATGAATACATTTCCTGTGTGTAAGATGAGCACATCTTGAGTGTAAGATGGGTACATTTCCTGTGTGTAAGATGGGTACATTTCCTGTGTGTAAGATGGGAACATTTCCTGTGTGTAAGATGAGTACATTTTGAGTGTAAGATGAGTACATTTCCTGTGTGTAAGATGAGTACATTTCCTGTGTGTAAGATGTGTTTATGTTCTGTGTAAGATGGCTACATTATCTGTTTGTAAGATGGGTACATTTTCTGTGTGTGCAGATGGGTACATATCCTGTGTAAGATGAGTACATTTCCTGTGTGTAAGATGGGTACATTTCCTGTGTGTAAGATGAGCACATCTTGAGTGTAAGATGGGTACATTTCCTGTGTGTAAGATGGGTACAGTTCCTGTGTGTAAGATGAGTACATTTGCTGTCTGTAAGATGAGTACATCTTGAGTGTAAGATGGGTACATTTCCCCTGTGTAAGATGAGCACATCTTGAGTGTAAGATGGGTACATTTCCTGTGTGTAACATGAGTACATTTCCTGTCTGTAAGATGGGTACATTTCCTATGTGTAAGATGGGTACATTTCCTGTGTGTAAGATGAGTACATTTCCTGTGTGTAAGATGAGTACATCTTGAGTGTAAGATTGGTACATTTGCTGTTTGTAAGATGGGTACATTTCCAGTCTGTAAGATGGGTACATTTCCTGAGTGTAAGATGGGTACATTTCCTGTGTGTAAGATGGGTACATTTCCTGTGTGTAAGATGAGTACATTTCCTGTGTGTAAGATGAGTACGTTTCCTGTGTGTAAGATGAGTACATTTTCTGTGTGTAAGATGGGTACATTTTCTGTGTGTAAGATGAGTACATTTCCTGTGTGTAAAATGGGTACATTTCCTGTGTTTAAGATGAATACATTTCCTGTGGGTAAGATGAGCACATCTTGAGTGTAAGATGGGTACATTTCCTGTGTGTAAGATGGGAACATTTCCTGTGTGTAAGATGAGTACATTTTGAGTGTAAGATGAGTACATTTCCTGTGTGTAAGATGAGCACATCTTGAGTGTAAGACGGGTACATTTCGTGTGTGTAAATTGGGTACATTTTCTGTGTGTAAGATGGTCCATTTCCTGTTTGTAAGATGGGTACATTTCCTGTTTGTAAGATGGGTACATTTCCTGTGTGTAAGATGAGCACATCTTGAGTGTAAGATGGGTACATTTCCTGTGTGTAAATTGGGTACATTTTCTGTGTGTAAGATGGTCCATTTCCTGTTTGTAAGATGGGTACATTTCCTGTTTGTAAGATGGGTACATTTCCTGTGTGTAAGATGAGCACATCTTGAGTGTAAGATGAGTACATTTCCTGTGTGTAAGATGAGTACATCTTGAGTGTAAGATGGGTACATTTCCTGTGTGTAAGATGAGTACATTTCCTGTGTGTAAGATGAGCACATCTTGAGTGTAAGATGGGTACATTTCCTGTGTGTAAGATGAATACATTTTCTGTGTAAGATGAGTACATTTCCTGTGTGTAAGATGAGTTCATTTCCTGTGTGTAAGATGAGTACATTTTCTGTTTGTGTAAGACGGGTACATTTCGTGTGTGTAAGATGGGTACATTTTCTCTGTGTGTAAGATGGGTGCATTTCCTGTGTGTAAGATGAGTACATTTCCTGTGTGTAAGATGAGTACATTTTCTGTGTGTAATATGAGTACATTTCCTGTGTGTAAGATAAGTACATTTCCTGTGTGTAAGATGGGTACATTTTCTCTGTGTGTAAGATTGGTACATTTCCTGTGTGTAAGATGGGTACATTTTCTCTGTGTGTAAGATGGGTACATTTCCTGTGTGTAAGATGGGTACATTTCCTGTGTGTAATATGGGTACATTTCCTGTGTGTAAGATGAGTACATTTTCTGTGTGTAAGATGAGTACATTTCCTGTGTGTAAGATGAGTACATTTTCTCTGTGTGTAAAATGGGTACATTTCCTGTGTGTAAGATGGGTACATTTCCTGTGTGTAATATGGGTACATTTCCTGTGTGTAAGATGAGTACATTTTCTGTGTGTAAGATGGGTACATTTCCTGTCTGTATGATGAGTACATTTTCTCTATGTGTAAAATGGGTACATTTCCTGTGTGTAAGATGGGTACATTTCCTGTGTGTAATATGGGTACATTTCCTGTGTGTAAGATGAGTACATTTTCTGTGTGTAAGATGGGTACATTTCCTGTCTGTATGATGAGTACATTTTCTCTATGTGTAAAATGGGTACATTTCCTGTGTGGAAGATGGATGCATTTTCTCTGTGTGTAAGATGGGTACATTTTCTTTTTGTAAGAAGAGTACATTTCCTGTGTGTAAGATGAGTACATCTTCTGTGTGTAAGATGAGTACATTTCCTGGGTGTAAGATGAGTACATTTCCTGTGTGTAAGATGTTTTTATGTTCTGTGTAAGATGGGTACATTATCTGTTTGTAAGATGGGTACATTTTCTGTGTGTGCAGATGGGTACATATCCTGTGTAAGATGAGTACATTTCCTGTGTGTAAGATGGGTACATTGTGAGTGGAAGATGGGTACATTTCCTGTGTGTAAGATGAGTATATTTTCGGTATGTAAGATGAGTACATCTTGAGTGTAAGATGGGTACATTTCCTGTGTGTAAGATGGGTACATTGTGAGTGTAAGATGGGTACATTTCCTGTGTGTAAGATGGGTACATTTTCTGTGTGTAAGATGGATAAATTTTCTGTGTAAGATGAGTACATTTCCCGTGTGTAAGATGGGTAGATTTTCTGTGTGTAAGATGAGTACATTTTCTGTGTGTAAGATTGGTACATTTTCTCTGTGTGTATGTGTGTAAGATGAGGACAGATGACAGAGAGGGAGAGCTGTAATGTGTCTCACTGTATGTATTGTGTGTTATGAGTGTTGTGTAACAAGAATGCAAGGTGTGTAGGGTGAAATGACCACCTTAATGTTTGTCATGAGTGTGTCTCAGTATGTGTGAATCCTGTCTAGCATAACAAGAACACACAGTGATGTGTGTGACATGTTTCTGTATGACACATGTGCATAGTGATGAGGAAAGCTGAGAGAGGCTAGACCCATGTAAATCTCCATCATACGTGGCAGTGTGTGGCAATCTTCACTAACATTACAGATGAGATCAAGTGATAACATTCACTGGGGATGAGCCCAGACAAGCAGACGTCATTTCCACACAATAGATCACCATATTACCTCTCCTACGATCACAATAAATGTAACATTCCACGAGCAGCATGACAGTAAATTAGTAGTTTCTTCATCAAACCAGACCTTGAGACATATTGCCAGAACACATGCATGAATCCATGCTTGTTTTCTAGCATCAGCAAAACCAAATCCACAGTGTATTCTAATGACTGAGGCACATTTCTGTTTGTTCTTTGATGAGGTAACAGTCAGGGTATAAATACACACTGTCAGCATGTACCTGACAAGTGGCTATAGAAGTGAAACCGCAAGGGATATAAAACAAATCCTGCTTCTTCAATATCAGCCAGTTTCTCTAGCTGTCAAGACACTGCTCCTGACAGAACTACCGATGTTGAAACACAAATGATATATATCAGATGATGTTCCTTGGTATCAGCAGTTCTGCTCACTTTATAGCATATCTGAAGGTGTGGATAGGATTCTTGTAGCAAAACAATGTGGCTATTTTGGTCCTGTGGAAAGAACATTTTTATACAGATTATCCCAGATTTTGAAAAGGGGATGTACATGACCATAGTAGCAAAGTGGCTAAGAACAGGAATTGTAGGATCAGGGTCTCCTTTCACAAAGCACAAAGGTGATCGATCGTAAGTCACTAAGGTAACCTTAGTGCAGTGTTAAAGAATGGGAGTTAAGGTTAACCTTAGTAAAGGTTGCTTCGTGAAAACAGCCCCAGGACATGAAGGATGTCTTAAAATGATGGTCTGTGTCCCATGGATCTTTTCAGGGATAGGAATTTTCCACGAATTCCTCGGATTTGATCGCGATGGGGTCATTGAATCTGTCATGGGGGCCTACGGCTCCCAACATCCCCAGCTCATTTTCCTCTTTTCTTCACTCATAGCCATTCTCATCCCTGCCTTTTTTTAATGCCCAAGTGTTTTGTAATGTGTAAAATTTATTTATTCTGCTATATGAATCTTTTCTATATATCAAGGAACAATGTAGGACTCTGTACAACAGTCCAAAAATAGATTGTTGTGTTAAGGAATCAGCCTTTTGTCTTTATGGAGCAACACTGCAGTGGAAAGACAAAAGCTGTGCATCAGACAATCTCAGTTTATATAGGAAACACATGTCGGTTTTGGTACTGCACAGCTGAAGTTGGGGTTTAATAATCACTGTATGTTGTTTGATTACTTATAACAGGTTTAATTTACTGGACACATTGAGATTCTAAATATTTCTGTCACAGAATCATCACATTGATTGGATACGAACCAAATGAGGTCATTGGCAAGACAGCATACTACTTTCACAATCCCCTGGATGCCCCGAAAATCAGTGACTGTCACTCCAACTGTAAGTATAACCTTAGGTATTGACCTCTAAATATCCAGGGGAGCTGGGGTTTTAGTTTGAGTCTGAATACATTTTCAATCAGCACATCCATGACGTAACCTTTCTCTGAACGTCCAACCTGTACAGTGAACTACCTATGTATTTAAGGGGCGGTGGGGTAGCCTAGTGGTTAAAGCGTTCGCTTGTCATGCTGAAGACCTGGGTTTGATTTCCACTTGGGTACAATGTGTGAAACCCATTTCTGTTGTCCCCTGCCATGATATTGCTGGGATATTGCTAAAAGCGGCATAAAAAACAAACTCACTCTGTTATGTATTTGTTGTAGAACTGGTTAACAATGGAAACAGATCATTACCATTCCTTTACCCCTACACTCTCTACAATATCTAACTGTAACCCCCTGACTTCTCTAAGCTCTTGTGTTTTATTGATTATATATCCGAAAAGAGTAAAAATAACTGGATGAAGTGATTGATTGGGTGAATGTGTAAATGTTCACAATGTCACAACAAGCACATTGTTTACACTTTCAGTTGGTATGAACATGTTGTGTTTGTACACACTAAGAAGAGTTTGTATACTTAATATATTTGATAAAAAAATAAAATAAAAAAACATGAAAAAATCCTGCCATATTTTGACTCATTAAACATCATTTTTCATGCAGTTAAAGACTGACTGTGTAAGTATGTTAGTTCATTGCCATATAAAAAGAAAAAACGATTTGTAAACTGTTTGAATCTTCAATCTGGACTGTGAGTTGTCAAATAATTCCATGTGTAAATATATCAAACCACAGCCATCAGCTGTACCAAAGTGCTACGCGATATAATGAATTTGGTATCTTTATTGAAATTTGCAATTAAAATAACACAATATTCAAATATATTATTCATGAAAAAACCCCAATAATTTTCCAGATGATTGCATCAAATTTGTTTGAAGATATTTTATTGGTTTGTTATAACTGAATCACTGGTAGAATGGGAGGAAATGTCTGCACAACCCCTTGCTATTTCCGGCTTAGTTTCATGATGATACACATGGTAATTGTAATCTCGGCATATAAAACAATACCTAGCAAAACAGGAGATAGAATTTAAATGTTAAAAACTTTGTGTCTGGTGATGTATCTCAAATTTTTAATCTCTATTGACCAAATTTGTTAATACATCTTTGTTGATACCTGAATTCACTGAAAGGATAAGATGAAGTTTCTCATCTGCGTATTAAACTCGAAATATTTGTTTTCCAAAATACTGATTCTCCTTGAGAGGTGTATACATTACACTTATGTACGCACTTTAGTAAAAAAAATATGATAATGTCTTGCATCATAGCTTTTACTGAAAATAAAACTGAGGTACTTCATTGAAATCAGAGACCCTATAGCGATGTATAGAAAGGTGGGGCCCTATGGGAGGTATATTGTACACGGTGAAACCTGATCGCCTTGTGAACAGGATATTGAGATCCTAGATACCTACCTGTGACATGTAATATAAAGTGTACTATGAGACACCATCATAGACGCAGTAAGGAGGACTAACAGACAACGACAAAGGCATTTCCCCCTCAATTTAACATGTCATGAGTTGGCATGGAAGAATAATGCTTTGACTGAACTTGTTTATGCTGTTTTTCTGGCTTGTGTTACTGTGTCCTGTTCTGTAAGGAAGTGCGGTCCTCCAGGTGTCTAATCGAAACCAGGATTACCGGTACATCAAGGACCAGTAGCACTGCTTGAGGCCAGTTCCGTGTTTTTTAAGAATTACCTTTCGGTACTTGCGAAAATTAAATTAACTAAATTGTGTGTGAAGGAAAGAGATTTCTTTAGATAGTATCAGAGTCTGCCTCAAGTCTGCGACAAGATTAAGTTAAATTTGTCAAACTGGAATTATGGATATCCCAATTCAGGTCATCATTTTCAACAAATTCATTCTTTTCTCAAATATTGTTACCATGGGGACATAGTTGAAAATACTGGGTATGGTTTTGTTAAAAACATGTTTGAGTTTCAAATATGTATTTCAATTATATTTTTTATTTTGTGTCAATTCTGTGAGTCAAGCAATAAAACCCAGAAATCTGTATATCAAGAAAATTCAGTGTGAAACCAACAAACCTGGTCTTACCTAACTGCTTGTTTCTTCACTTGTTTACTTTGCCAGTCTGGCATTTACGATAGACACCCCACTCTGACAAGGTATACTGCCACAAATACCATGTATAAATGTTAGGATAAGCCTGGGGATCGAACCCAGACTCTCCTCTCACTAGGCAGGTGCTCTATCCACTGGACCATGGGGGAGTTGATCCATAAAGAGTTAGATGCAATATGTGCTGTTCACATACCTCCCACTGCCACAGTGGTATTGCTTAATCGCAGGTCTAGTTTCATGTCAGCAGTTATTGCTATTTAAATGTTATGACATGCCTGGGGATCAAGCCCACACCTTCCTCTCTCAAGGCAGGTGCTCTATCCACTGGACCATGGAGCCTATAGAGTGAGGAGTGGGTATGGTTTTATGGCGCTTTTAGCTATATCCCAGCAATATCACGGTGAGGGACACCAGAAATGGGCTTCATACATTGTACCCATTTTGTGAATCAAACTCGTGTCTTTGGCATGATGAGCAAATGCTTAAACCACTAAGTACCCCACTGCCTTGGAGTTTAAGGCAGCGTGTGGAGATCATATACCTCTTACTGCTGCAGTGGTATTGCTTGACTGCAGGTCTAGTTGTATGTCAGCAGTTAGCACGGTGTTAATATCACATTTAAGTACAGGCTACATTCTTAATTGTACTTCTGACGTATGATGTTGAGGTATCAGTGGATACCTGTTTTGACAATTGTCTGGAATTGTTTTGACAAGGATTTCGTAACAACCAGGTATGTTGTCTCTGAAGTTCTAATATATTGTGATAAAGAAACATATGGCACCCACACAGAATTGGCATCCCTCTGGGAGTACTGTGGTTAAAGTCTCCTGCAAGCTGTGCTGATAGTAACAGGTAACCCTTAGACTGCTGAATGGATATGAAGAGTCATAAAGTGAACATTTAATTAAAGTAGAGTTCTCTCATCATTAGTTGACTGACTGACTGAGTTTGGTTTTACGCCGCTTTTAGCAATATTCCAGCAACATCACGGCAGGGGACACCAGAAATGATCATTAGTTAAAGATTTCTGTAATATATTTTTCTAATTTCTCAGTAATGACATCTGTATTTTCCAGTATATTTGTATTTTTCTAAAAAAACAATCTGAATTTTACAAATTTGAATTGTATCAATAAAATGTACCTGTTTTATCAGTTTGCCCTGTTATGTTGCCATCATCCTTATACATCTTATATGCAAAAAAATGTCAGTCCTAAGTCTTAAAACCTTTTTGATCAGGTATAGAATAACCACATTAAAAAAATTATCATGATGTAATAAGCATTTATATATTCAAAATACAAAATACATATTCAGGAGTAATTTTACATTCCAAAATGATAAAGTATTGGGTAAGTTTTGTCAATTGTGTGAAAAGTTGCATTGTTGTGGACCTATAAAAGTGACTGAACTGACGGGGTAGTACATGTGTGTGATCACAGTCTGAGGGGGTGCGTCATTCACAACAATCAACTGCTGGTCTAGATTTGATCATTCATAAGCAGCTGTCATTCAGCTGGAATAATGCTGAGTAGGGTGCAAACAACAAACACCAGGTCACAGACTGTACCAATGTGTGGAGTTCATCCTGGGCATCATCACTTGATAATGCTGGACATGAAAACAGTGTAAAAGTGTACTAACTCTAATTCTTTAATACCATTAATGGTACTTGCAGGGTATCTAGTTTTCAACATTTTCCCTCCAAGATACTGAATGTAGATGTCTCTTATAAAGCACAAAATGTGTATGATAAAAACTGTAGGAAATACAAGGTCTAGTCAGTATATTCCTTCTTGGTCACGTGACTAAGAAAGCTGATGAAACTCTTGGTACCGATGCAGCATGATGATGCAATACAGACACTTCCAGCCTAAATGTCAACTCCTTCAAAATAGAATGAAATTCCACTCACACAATATACACACTTTGAAGCAGCCATTTTGGCAGGGATGATTCTGATGAAAGACCAGCCTGGTTTTGCTCAGTTAGCTCGTGTTATGGGTGAATGTTGTGTACGTCGGGAGGGGCGGGGGGATTGGATTCGGGGGTGATGGGGGACTATACGTGTAGGCTGCACGTAACAAACATGCACATACTTCAGCCACGCTTATCAGGGCTGTGTCTCCTATATAAGATAGTGGACGCCTGAGATCCTTGTTGTTGTTGTATGGGTTGAGGGAATGTACTCTCTGTGCCAGCCTGCTCACCTGCTTCAGGTAACAATGTGCAGGTATATGTGGCTATACACATTCAGTGCAGCTGCCAATTTGCACAGGTAGGCACTGAAAGTATGCATTTGATTATCATGGAAAGTTATTAAATATTTAGAGACCGTATATCGGTATTTGGTCTCTGGTTACATTTACATTTAAAAGACAATTTAAAAGATTCTCAATTCAGATATTTTATAAATTTTATTTTATATTGTTTACTTTAAAAAAATCGTTTTGAGAATAAATTTGTTTGAAAGGTCATGTTGACAATATTGTATATGTCTCCACCATACTTCATTATATTTCTTACAGGGTTAAAAAGATAACTGTTATTTTTTTTCTGATGGTGTTTCATAAATATTCTGTTACCTAGCAACAATGGAAACCCGTATTAAAACACTGGTCATTAGATCGGAGCTGTGTCTGTGACAGGTGTAGCCAATATACTTATAAAGACAAAGAAACATTAACAAGAGTGGGAGACCCATTCAGCAGTGAGACGGGACGAGATGATTGTGTTTACAGGTGAGCCGAGGGTTTATGTGACAGGTTCGTGTGTTCAAGTTGTACTGTTTCTTCTTTCAGTGATTGTTAAAGGAGCATCAGTGAGCAAGTACTATCGCTTCTTTGGGAAGACAGGGGACTGGGTTTGGCTTCAGACCCGGGCTACCATCATCTACAACACCTCTCAGAAACCACAGTATATTGTCTGCATGAACCATGTCATCGGGTGAGTACCGGAGCTGTTCTCGGTAATCGATTTGATCTTCGCCTGAATACCCTGAAGCTCTGTTAAACAATTGCATTTTTGTTGGTTGACTTCTAAACTGTATGTTTTTTTTATCACTTGAACATGGGATTGTAAACTCTGGTAGACAATGTTATTGTTACTCTAAAGTGTAATTTGGTGATTTTTGGTAGATTCTAAACTCTGTTAATTAGTATGATCATTGTATGTAGACACTAAGCTCTATTAATCAGTTTGATCATTATAAGTAGTCACTAAGCTCTATTAATCACTTTGATCATTGTAAGCAGACATCAAGCTCTATTGATCAGTTTGATCATTGTAAGCAGACATCAAGCTCTATTAATCATTTTGATAATTGTAAGTACACACTAAGCTCTATTAATCAATTTGATCATTGTAAGTAGACTTCAAGCTCTATTAATCAATTTGATCATTGTAAGTAGACACTAAGCAGACAGCTTTATTCATTAAATTGATCATTGAAAGTAGACTTCAAGCTTTATAACTAAATTTGATCATGATAAATGGATGCTAAGGTATAAATCAATTTGATCATTGTAAGCAGACATAAAGCTCTATTAATCAATTTGATCATTGTAAGTAGACTTCAAGCTCTATATATATCAGTTTGATCAATGTAAATAGATGCTAAGTTCTATTTATCAATCTGATCATTGTAAGCAGACATAAAGCTCTATTAATCAATTTGATCATTGTAAGCAGACATAAAGCTCTATTAATCAATTTGATCATTGTAAGTAGACTTCAAGCTCTATATATATCAGTTTGATCAATGTAAATAGATGCTAAGCTCTATTTATCAATCTGATCATTGTAAGCAGACATAAAGCTCTATTAATCAATTTGATCATTGTAAGTAGACTTCTAAACTCAAATGCTAGATTTCATGATTGTTGGTAGATCTCTAATTTATATTGACTGATAGGTAGACCAGTAAGCTCTATTAATGAATGTTGGCATTGTTGGTTGACCCCTAAGCTCTTCATCACTTGGTGTCCATAGATCTCCAAAAGAGCACCACTCATATTGTGTATTGATCTGTAGATCTCCAAGAGAGATTAATTTTGTTACCCTGCAGGTGTGATTTGTGAATTAGATCAGGGCTATTCAACCTTAGTTTCGGCATATTTTGTTGATGCTGTGGGTATATGAATTTTCATAAATTGTAAGAGGGCTAGAAACATTTGGTTCCCGGTTCCCAAGAAGGATATTGGTGTGATGGTATAGTTGAATAAGGAAGGCGCGCTGACAGCAACTTGTAGTTTTGTCAAAATACACAAGATAAGTTGTATTATTGGATGAGTGTAAGTGTATCATTGGCTGGTCCATAGTGAATCCCCTGTAGTACACCTGAATCACCTGATCATCCGGATGAGACATGATCACCTAACTGAGTGATGTTGGAAGCTTCCACGACCTCCATCCCTGCTGCCAGCTTAATGTACGTGCTGCATCACTTCACTGATGTACATCTGTGATCCTCCATCGCCATGGAACTGCACGTACACACACACTTTTTGCAGGATTTCTTTCCTCCATCCTGGAAACTACGTACTAACATGTGTAATTAGAACATGGAGAGTGTGCAGAAATCATTGTTTTCTGCTAATGATGGTTTGAAAAAGCTTATGGTAGTTTCTACCCTTGGAGATTCTGGTTAGAATTGGTCGTCAGGAACCCATGTCTGTCAAAAGAGGAGATTTATGGGAACATGTCAGGCTCTCTGACTTGGTGATGCATGTCATCATATCACAATTGCATAGATTGATGCTCATGATGTTGATCACTGGATTGTCTGGTTCAGATATGCTTTTATACAGACTTGTCATATGGCAGGAATATTGCTGAGTGCAGGGTTAAATAAGAAACAAAATGAAGAAGTATCTAATGATGGCTTAATTACTTTTGACAGTTGATAGGCCTGTGTGGCATAACAAACTGATTGGCATCATGTACAGGACGACTTAACCTGTGAGTTACACTTGACGTATAGAATGTTTCACCATCACTCAGGTTTCTTTATAGGGACTGACGAAAGACATGAACATTTTCAAAATACCTTTATAGCTCTGTTTGGCAAAAGAGGAACATTTTTCATTTCACCTTACAACAGGCTTTCTATCTTTTTGTTGAAAATATAGAATCTCAAATGATTGAATGATCTAAACTGGTATGTTATATATTTGTGATTTTGTTGAGTGGAAGGATGGTGGTCTGTTCCCTGTCTACGTTGTTAAAAGATGGTAATTATTGTTACCCTGCCTGGTGTTGAGCATTTAGGGTTTAAACAAGGATAGCTCGGAGTCAGCACACTGGCTCTGAATGATATAATCTTGTTAAACTGCAGCATGGTATGTCAGTGAGCTAGCACAAAACAACAACATTCTTCTGGCTAGTCGAAGCAGCCGCAGAAACACGTGTGAATGTTTCTAAGTTAGTTCAATAATCTTCAACATGTTTCTTTCTCTTCCTCTTCTGACAACATTAAACATTCCACGAAGCCTGTGTGAGTATATGAAGAATAAGAGCACTGTTTCGCACTGTGTGAAGCAGTAGTAAAGGCTGAGGCAGCATTTGAAGGTCAGACATGGGTTCACATGTTATACCTGTGTTGGGATCACACCCTGGATTTCTGTGACGTCTCTGGGCAACAGTCACCACCCTATTCAGAGAAACTCCATTGATCACCGTGGTAGCATTTGTGCTGTTTCATAGGTTACCTGACTGTCAAATCCTGGTACAATCAGTGATGTAATGTGTGTTTCTTTGTCTTGGTGGTATTTGCATAAATCCGCTCGACCTGAGCTTGATTTCAGTAGTGTAGGGTATGACACAAAGTCAACTAAGTCCCTAAATATTATCATGTGGTATGTTTTAGATGCCTATTACAACACAATCTACCCACATTTTCACCAACAAATCCAACAACCCTACCCCAAAACCTACCCACAACCTACCCACCGATCTACCTGCCAATCTACCCACCACCTACCCATCATCCTATCAACAAATCTACTCACAAACCTACCAACCAACCTACCCATCAATCTACCCACCTGCTCAACAATCTACCCACCTGCTCAACAATCTACCCACCAATTTACACACCATTCTACCCACCTGCTCACCAATCTACCTACCTGCTCACCAACCTACCCACCAGTCTACCCACCTGCTCACCAGTCTACCCACCTGCTCGCCAGTCTACCCACCTGCTCGCCAGTCTACCCACCTACCCACCAACCTACCCACCTGCTCACCAACCTACACACACCAATATTACCCATCCTTTACCATCTCCTTCAAAACTTTTCCTGGTAATGTTTCACAATCCCTTGGAGTACATGTTTGTAATCCACACCATCAAAGACTCATGATTAAATTGAATCATAATAGAATATAACATGATCTTAATCAAAATAATTGTCAGTTTACTGACATAAATACTTTTCTTCCAAGATAGACCACCTATATTTCATGGGAAAGGAAGATTCCATGTTTGGATTTGGTAAACATGTTATAAATAAAAGTAAAATTCTAATCAATTTATGTTGCAATTGTGTGCGCAATAAAGTCTACTTTCATGTTGATTTCCTAACCACTCCATATCAGTATTGGGCAACCCTGACTAAACACTAGTGTTCATTACACAATAAAAATAAGCACATTTCCTAAGACACAGATATGCTTCCTCTTAGCTACCAGACCCGTGAAGATCCGGGGTAGAATAGGTCTTCAGCAACCCATGCTTGCCACAAAAGGTGACTATGCTTGTCGTAAGAGGCGACTAACGGGATCGGGTGGTCAGACTCGCTCACTTGGTTGACACATGTCATCGGTTCCCAATTGTGCAGATCGATGCTCATGCTGTTGATCACGGGATTGTCTGGTCCAGACTCGATTATTTACAGACTGCCGCCATATAGCTGGAATATTGCTGAGTGAGGCGTAAACCTAAACTCACTCACTCACTCTTAGCAACCAAAATGGTGCCACAAGGTTCCAAGGATTAACTCCACAGATGGTGATACTAACATGTTGTTCATATGGTAGGATTACCATTAATCTTAGCACTGCTGCTCGAGGATTGAGATCATGATGTACTTTACTGTCTCATTATATGAGGGTCGGTGGGGTAGTCTAGTGGTTAAAGCGTTGGCTCGTCACGCTGAAGACCCGGGTTCGAATCCCTACATGGGCACAATGAGTGAAGCCCATTTCTGGTGTCCCCCGCCATGATATTGCTGGAATATTGCTAAAAGCGGCATAAAACCAAACTCAGTCAGTCAGTCATTATATGATTAACTTGGATTTGTGAAGTTAGTTACAAGGTGCTTCCCATTTCTTTATTTCACAATGCATCATTCTTTCTTTCTACAGTATTACAAATGTTGGAAGTAGGTTCAGCTTTATTGCAAGATGGGGAACATTACCCTGGGATACATTTTATACATTTACAAGGACACAACAAATTGATTGTTTTAATCCCTTGAAGTGACGTGTTTCTCCAAAATATTTCTGGAGTTAGAAAATGTATTTTCCTGCTCACTGTATTCAGATTGCCCAATATGGTTTATAAAAGTACTTTGAAGCCATCAAATTAGGAACTAAAGAATAAAAACTTAGAACAGGAACTAACACCTATAGCTGAAAATTCACTGTGTATTAAAACAACATCTATTAAGAAAATTATTGAAATTCTAATATTTTTTAATTAATTCATTCACTAATTATCTACATTAATTTCCTATTGTATTGTCATGTATAATCTGTCATGTCATGTGCTATAAATCCTGAATATATCAAAACTTCTTGGAACAAATAATTAGTTTTTAGTAGACTTAATGGTATATTCGGTTGAAGAAATATTACCATACAGACCCTTACACAATAACATCAAAAACAGTCCCAAGCAAGGCAACATTTCTTCAAAGTCTCTGGCCTTCTTTCTATTATATCAAAAGTCAATTTCACTCATTCTTCAAATATGTTCATCTCAGAGAAAAAATATAGTCTATGATATGACAACTGATGTTAATTTTATGTTCGACAGGGATGAGGAGGGACAGAGGTACCTGACGATGGAGGAAGAACAGTTGGGGTTCCGAGACCCAAATGTCCGTGGCTGCATTGACCTTGCCAACACCAGCACAGAGTCTCCAGTGAGCATCTGCAGTAGCAGTGGTGATGAAGGCCATGATGACACCGGCTACAGCAGCGGTTACAGCCACACCACTGACACCAGCAGCCCCCACACGTCAGGCTTTGTGAACCTGTCCTCTCCCGACACCCACACTCCACCAGAGTGTGGAGATGACAGAGACTCGGTGCTAGACTACCCAATGACTGATGTCAGCCAGATCGAGAATCTTCAGAAGGAGACCTCTGATCCTGTGAGCCAAGCAGTGACAGCAATGTCAAATGCTCTTGATCCATTCTTGAGTTCGTTCCGAGAGGAGCTAGGACTAGAAGGTGCTCAAGCTGACGACGGAATGGATCTCTTGGATGACTTGCTAAAGAGCATGGAGGAAGATGACCCAGTGTCTCCACAACCTCCTCCAGCTTTGCCTAGTGTCCTGAATAATCCTCCGGTGAATGTTCCTGAACCAGGACGACAGAAGTCTCTTTTGCGATCACTTCTGGACAGGGGTGATAAATCTCCAACTAAATCCACCATGGACTACTCTTTTTCCTCCTCAAGACCTGTTTTGAAAGATGCTGTGTTATTTCCAACATCAAGTTTGACAAGTGTTCAGTCAGATAAAACAATTAACACAATGTCGAGATCCACTATACCATTTACTTCCAGTAATTCCCAGACACAGACACCTATCCTTCAAATCTCTAATCCTAGTTCAGTAATGAGTGACCCACTTGCAGGATCAATAGATTCATCTAGTGTCAGTGTCCCACAACCAGATCCCTTCATCCCAGAAGACTTGCTGGACTTTGCCATGCAGTACTGTGACACTATACCTGATGAGCAATCCCAAGCCATCATCACCAGCTATGGTCAAGATCTGTGGTGCAGTGGAGTGGATGACCTCATCACAACCTTTGCTGATGTTCAGCAATCCACCACGGAGCCAGTTATGTCCTCTGTAGTCAACACAAGTCCAGCTAAAGGTCTTTCTACAGAAGGTCCTCAAGCCTGTCCAGAAGTGAGTTTCATAGATCTGGATAACTGCTGCAGGAGAGAGCAGTATGCTCCTGCTTGTAAGCAGAATCAGTGTGAGAATAAACAGTCTTCTACAGATGTTTCAAAGGATTTATCAACTCAGATATTATTCAATGTTCTTAGCAACAGAAATACCTCTCAGATAAAAGATTCCAGGAGCAACAAGAGTGTATTCGTTCAACCACTGAAGGCCACACCTCGGCCTGTTGTTAGTCACACTGTTTCTAGTTCACATGTGAATGGTCCATTTACCAGTAGATGTGCTGTCAGTTCAGAGTCAGAGAGATGTCAGAAGAAGCTGACATTTAGGACTGTTCCAACTCAACCACCAAGGTCACCCTGCAGGACTTTTGCAAGCCCTGTAGGACGAGGGCAGACGGCCACAGTATCTGCTGCCTGTGTTAGTTCCAGGTGTGGCAAATCATTAGTGTCAGCTCTGTGTGACAGAGGAGCTGCTTCACCAAGTTCATGTTCATCAAAATCCTCAACCCTTGTTGTTCCAAGTCAGCAACCAACACAGCCTCCTTCAAGTAGACATAGTGAGCAGGTCACTGCTAAGCCATCTGAGGGTATGTCTGAACTAGAGAAATACTTACGTGGGTACATCAAAAAGACCACATGCTGACAAAACAACAGAAAGTGTCTCCCCTCCCCAACACTCCACTTCCCCGCCAGCGCAGACACCCTTCCTTCAGAAGCTGCTGACAGGGGAACTCTCACGTGAACACTACAGAGAGATTGACTCACAGTTGCTCAGGCAAGAGAAACAACGTCGATCGTCTACTCATTCATTGTCAGAGGGCTGAGAGCAGCCATGTTGTGTCTACGTGGTTCCCAGTTCATGGAATAGTATAGAGTGTGTTAAAAGAGCTCCTTGTGTGATTCCAATCTGCCCAATTCCAGGAATAGAATGTGAGGACAACACTCTGTGTTAAGTGTCCATACCAATCACCTGATGTATGGAATACAAGATTGGTTGCAAAAGCAATGTGTGATATGAGGATAGATTCAATAGTTTGATCCCAGAGTGATGTGCAACCTATTAATCCTTCATGTCCAGTTTCATGATGTTGTTGGCATTGTTCATCAGGTGATGAATGCTTGGAAGTTCCTATCACCAACCTACCAAAGGATACCTACACCATTTCATAGCTGCAGGATATATACGGTGACGTCTTGTTCATGCCGATGATACTGTCTCTGTAGAATTGCTGTGTGATACTTTTCTGGAATATTCATTCTGGGTTGTCATGGAGACTGAGCATTACCTGTACGGATTCATTTGGATGTTCCCATGAAGATTATCCAGAAGGTGCATTTGTTAGTGGTGGATTATTGGATTATGCTTATGTAGAATGCCTTAAGAAAGAATTGTGATGTCATTATTGACTGTTACATATATTGTTAAGATGGTGGCGTAGCTTAACGGTTAAACCGTTTGCTCATCAAGCTTAAGGTCTGGGTTTCATTCCAACACTGATACCATGTGTGAATCCCAATCTGGTGTTCCCTGCTGTGATATTGCTTTAATATTCCTAGAAGTGGCATAAAACCATACTCACTCACTCACCCACTCACTCACAGCATTTATTCAAGAAACATTCTTTCTTGATGATCAATGTAATCCTATGCATTACATAACACCCTTCAACTGTGTATGAGACTTGCCATCAGACTCAGCACCAGAGATAACTAAATATGAATCCTTAATATCTTAAGCCTGCAAACTTAGGATATTTGAATCTATTGTTTTCGATTGTTCTCACAGTATGAATGTAAAGACAATTTATTGACAGTAATTAACATAAGTCGTCATAGTGTTTCCTCAAAAGCTTACCCTACCTGTTGTCTAATATGCATATTTATACTTGGTCTTCAGTTATATAATAAAAGAAGTCAATATTGAAGGTGTTTATGGCAGTAGCACGGTGGTGTAGTGGTTAGCATACTGGCCTCTCACACCAAAGGCCCAGGTTCGAATCCCGGTGGAGATGCCAAAATTTGTGACATGGGTCTCATACTGTGTTGTGTCCCTGGGCAAGGCACTTCGTCCACATTGCACTCAGTCCACCCAGCTGTTCAAAATGGGTACCTGAGAAGCGGATGTACGGAGCTATATGGTCATGTGAAGCGCTTAGTAGCGGCTTTGAAAGTACAATTCCATCAGGGTAATAATGTAACGCCAGAGAGCAGCATCATGTTGGATTCTAGCCGCAAAAATTAGCATTATTATTATTATTATTATCAACCTAAAATGTGTCTGTGTGCACACTGTGGAAGTTTGTTTACCAAAAAAACGTAGTACAGTCAATTGTTCTAAATTGATGTGTCAATGATAATAACTTCACAGACGTCTTATGTTATCATTAACAAAAAAATATGCAAAGTGGTAACATAAGCACTTTACACAAGTCAGTCACGTGTGACTTTTGTTTGATTGTATCATCTTAGTGCTAAGATGGCATCCATAACAGCTGCCTCGCTCAAAGACGTAATTTTGTCTCTGCCTCAGTGAAAATCTTTGTGTGGTTCTTTAGTACTCCAACTGGGCTTTGACACCTGTGACTTTACGTCTTCAAGTAGGAGAGAGTACTTGTTAAAAGCTTCCATATCTCTGTAGTCAAAGATGGTGCAAAACATTTCAAATGTAGGACATGGACTGGATTGAAGAGATTCAGCATAAAAGGGTTTAGTAATTCATACTTGAAATGTGTTAAATTGACTTAACATCAAATAGAAACTTGAAAGACTCTAAAGATCGGTATATGTTCTCATATGCTTTTGGGGTTTACTTCCTATGAGAACAGGGGCGGTGGGGTAGCCTAGTGCTTAAAGCGTTGGCTCGTCACGCCGAAGGCCCGGGTTCGATTCCCCACATGGGCACAATGTGTTAAGCCCATTTCTGGTGTCCCCCGCCGTGATATTGCTGGAATATTGCTAAAAGCGGCGTAAAACTAAACTCAGTCAGTCAGTCAGTCCTATGAGAACAAGTTTGAAATGGCAAATGAATTTTGTTTTACGCCATGATCAGCAGTATCACAGCTATGTTATAGAAACATTTATGAGAGACAATGTTTCACTTCGTCTTGATGTCATTAACATACTGTCATCATGTCATCATGTACTTGATCGTGTCATCTACCACATGCATTGTTGTCAAAGGGCATGTCCACTCCAGATCTCAGTCTGAAAACTGGTGTTTTAAACTCTTCTTTCATGAACATGGTGTGATATGGGAAGTCGTACAGTGACGTCTACTCAGTGGTCATTTCTGCTAACAACTTGACAGGGGTGGAAATAACTTTAAAATTGCTAGTGTACTCCAGTACAGTGGCACATGTAAAATCACTTGCCCTGATAATTTTCCACTATACCTGCCGTTTTCTTGTTGATTTTTTAAATAAATAACATATTTAACATTGGAATATCAACTGGACACCGGTACAGTGTGATATACAAATTTGCTTGCCCGACAGAAAAAAACACTGGACTCGGGCGTCGGGCAATGGGTTATTTCCGCCCCTGCTTGATAGTAGAATCCTTCCACTTATAGATACGTATGTGAACCATTGATCTATTTCCTTGTCCATATTTCAGTGGAGTGTTGCAAAACAACCCACTTGTCCTTGCGCCATTGCTGCATGGTCTCGTCGTGATTGATAAACATTTTAGTGATGTAGGCATTTTGCAAGCATTCAGGATAAATGGTTGTGTAAATGTTATAACATGTCAGATCACACGCTATAACTATTGTACATCACAACATGTTAGAGTCAGATAGATATATATTTATATTTATCAACATCATGAAATGTGACATACTGTCACTGTCAGATCACATGTTATGTAATGTTATAACATCACATGCAGTCAGATCACATCTTCATATCAATGTTTCAACTTCATGCAGTCAGGTGACATTTTAAAATAATGTTATAACATCATATGCAGTTAGATAACATACTTTATATAATTGACTCAGCACGTCACAGATTTCAAGAAATCACACAGCATCTCACAGAATTCAGAGTACAATTATATAAAAGTCATGATATCACATGCAGTCAGATCACATGTTGTATAATGTTATAACATCACATATTGTATACATTTCATAACATGCAGTCAGATAACAAGTTATATGAATGTCATAACATCACATGCAGTCAGATGACATGTATAAATGTCATGACATCACAAGCAGTCAGATAACAAGTTATATGAATGTCATAACATCACATGCAGTCAGGTGACATGTATAAATGTCATGACATCACAAGCAGTCAGAGTACAAATTATATAAATGTTATAACATCACATGCAGCCATAGTACAAGTTACATAAATGTCATGACATCACATGCAGCCATAGTACAAGTTACATAAATGTCATGACATCACATGCAGCCATAGTACAAGTTAAATAAATGTCATGACATCACATGCAGCCATAGTACAAGTTACATAAATGTCATGACATCACATGCAGCCATAGTACAAGTTACATAAATGTCATGACACCTCATGCAGTCAGATCACACATGTAAAAATATCAAACCAAGTCAATGCAGTCAGGTCACACATTGTATAATGTTACATCACATGCAGTAAGCTTACATATTGTATAAATTTCATAACATGTCACATGCAGTCAGCTTACAAGTGTATCACATGCAGTTAAGTCAGTAACTATTAACTTGAAATACCAAGATCACCAGGTGTTAGTTTCATGCCAAACTTAAAAAAAGATCTAATTTGCTCGTCACTGATGAGCTGAAATTAGAAATTGTTTCCAAGATCACTTGAACTTGTTTGGAAACTAAAATCAACATTGTTTGTCATCCAATCAAGGCCTCTTGAAGAGAAGCCTTCTTTCCCATCTCTGTGTTGTCATGACGATAAATCTACTGATGATGATAGGATTATAGGGTGCTAGCCAAAACCATCATCACACCACCAAATATGTTTTTATAAGAGTGATGAGTAATTTTTATATATTTACAATATGTATTGAAATGATATGAACTATTGTTAAATCTGTATGACTATAAATCTTTTGATAAACTGTTACTTGTTAAGCCGTTGTTGTTGTTTACAGCCTACAAAATATACTGGACAAAAATAGTTAGGGATATATGTAAATTTTGAAATTATGAATAATGATGTATTTATTCATTGACACATTGATAAAATATCAATCATAAAAATACCAATATCCCTAACTTATTTTGTCCAGTATAGATTCTCTTGGTTCTCAGGCTCTTGAGTATGTACCTGTATGGCGGCAGTTTATTCAGCTTAAAAACCTGCTGTTGTTATTTCTTCGCTTTGAAAACTGAAACAAGCCATCCTGTCTTTTTAATATCACTGCTTGAGACCAACTGTTGTTATTTTTTCAGTGATATGTGCTTTTTATGCTTTTAAGTCATCTGGAATTAGTCTGGTGCCACGGCTGTACTACTGCAGTGAACATATACACGAAGCAGTTTGATTCTCTGTTAAACAGTTGTATTGCCAGACCAGTTTAATTTTTACATAGTCCATAGACAAGTCTACAATAGATTTAGTGAAAGTAATTCATTAAACAGATTTTGATTCCTAATATTTTTGCACCTTGTTGAATATTCATTAAGAACACATTTGTAAAACAAAGAATATAATTGGCCTGGCCTTAAAGATACACAATCAATAAACATTGTGCTATATGTCATCAGTACAATTAGTCAGCTGTCCTCTAAGCTGAGCTTGTTGTTGTTTTATCCAATTTAGGATGTATGTTATAGTACAATGTGATACTGGAAATAAATATTGAAATAAATCCTTTATATCCCTTTATTGCGTGAACTCATTAATCATGAGCGCTATCCCAGCAGGGCTATGGGCTAAAAATAGATTAATGAAAACAGATTGAAGAACCTGTTTGTTTACATTAAGGTGGTATAGAACCAGTAATGTGTGACATGTAACATTGTAGGAGGCTACAAATTGCAATTAAGCATTTTGTGATCACCCAAAAAATAAAATTTATTTTCAAAAGAAATAAAATAATAAAACCAGGGCAAATGGTATCACTGCCATTACAACTCTGGCCTTTAATCGTCTCTGTTGTGATTAGTGTCATGCTAGAGTGATGTGAATAGGACTGAAGTAGAACTGTTGTCATTATTGGGAAGTACTGTTTGTGCTTTACATAATATGAGAGAAAAACACCATATCTTGGATGTTTACATTTTCTATGCTGTATTTCCAAAGAAGCACTAAGCACAGGGTGCTCAGGTCACCTACATGCATAGCATGTGTGACTGTCTTTATGCAATCGGATGCACATTTACTTGTTCACTGATCAATATTAGGGGATTCTTGGTTTTAGCTTGGCCCTGTTTTGAGATAATGTTAGTTGCATGCGCAACTGCAGCTTCCGTTCATACCTCAGTGCAGAGTATCCTGCACCAGTGACAACCAAATGGCAATTCATTCTTGTGACAATTGTGGGATAGACCAATGTTAGGTGTCTCACTGTAGGACAGACTCACATTCAGTGTCTCACTGTAGGACAGACTCACATTCAGTGTCTCACTGTAGGACAGACTCACGCCCAGTGTATCACTGTAGGACAGACTCACACCCAGTGTCTCACTGTAGGACAGACTCACATTCAGTGTCTCACTGTAGGACAGACCCACACCCAGTGTCTCACTGTAGGACAGACTCACATTCAGTGTCTCACTGTAGGACAGACTCACATTCAGTGTCTCACTGTAGGACAGACTCACATTCAGTGTCTCACTGTAGGACAGACTCACATTCAGTGTCTCACTGTAGGACAGACTCACATTCAGTGTCTCACTGTAGGACAGACTCACATTCAGTGTCTCACTGTAGGACAGACTCACATTCAGTGTCTCACTGTAGGACAGACTCACATTCAGTGTCTCACTGTAGGACAGACTCACATTCAGTGTCTCACTGTAGGACAGACTCACATTCAGTGTCTCACTGTAGGACAGACTCATCTCACTGTCTCACTGTAGGACAGACTCAGTGTCACCCAGTGTCTCACTGTAGGACAGACTCACATTCAGTGTCTCACTGTAGGACAGACTCACATTCAGTGTCTCACTGTAGGACAGACTCACATTCAGTGTCTCACTGTAGGACAGACTCACTTTCAGTGTCTCACTGTAGGACAGACTCACATTCAGCATCTCACTGTAGGACAGACTCACATTCAGTGTCTCACTGTAGGACAGACTCACATTCAGTGTCTCACTGTAGGACAGACTCACACCCAGTGTCTCACTGTAGGACAGACTCACATTCAGTGTCTCACTGTAGGACAGACCCACATTCAGCATCTCACTGTAGGACAGACTCACATTCAGCATCTCACTGTAGGACAGACTCACATTCAGTGTCTCACTGTAGGACAAACTCACATTCAGTGTCTCACTGTAGGACAGACTCACATTCAGTGTCTCACTGTAGGACACTCACATTCAGTGTCTCACTGTAGGACAAACTCACATTCAGCATCTCACTGTAGGACAGACTCACATTCAGTGTCTCACTGTAGGATGGACTCACATTCAGTATCTCACTGTAGGACAGACTCACATTCAGTGTCTCACTGTAGGACAGACTCACATTCATTTTCTCACTGTAGGACAGACTCACATTCAGCATCTCACTGTAGGACAGACTCACATTCAGTGTCTCACTGTAGGACAGACTCACGTTCAGTGTCTCACTGTAGGACAGACTCACTTTCAGTGTCTCACTGTAGGACAGACTCACATTCAGTGTCTCACTGTAGGACAGACTCACATTCAGTGTCTCACTGTAGGACAGACTCACATTCAGTGTCTCACTGTAGGACAGACTCACACCCAGTGTCTCACTGTGGACAGACTCACATTCTCACTGTAGG